CTCATCCTTGACTTCATCCGCTCCCGGCCCCCATTGAAGCAGGTGAGTGCCAATACCAGGACACCTCCATGGCATGGCAGTGCCTGGCCTGGGCTTGGTGGGTCCCATGGGTGCCATCCCCACCCTGCATGGGGGTCAGCACCCAAGCTGCGCCACTGGCCCTGTCTCTGCGGCCCTCAGGCATCAGGGCGTCGGCTGCGGCCACTGCCCCAGAAGCAGAGGACACTCCACGAGAAGATCCTGGAGGAGATCAGGCAGGAGAGGAAGCTTCGGCCTGTGGAGATGCCATACCATGGACAGAAAGGTGTCAGAACCCCTCCCTGCCACTTTGGGCTGCCAGTGATGTGCCTGGCACCAGGGCAGGTCCCTGTTCTGCCAGGACTGAGCCCCATTCCCATCACAGGCTACAGCTCCCTCCCCTGCATCCCTCATGCCTGCTCGGGCCGCCTGGCCTCCAGCTCTTGCCTCGAGCTGTCCCGGTGCCCAGCAAGCACCGCAGCAGCGTGCCCGCGGCCCCGTGTCCTGCTCAAGGCACCCACGCTGGCCGAGATGGAGGAGATGAATGTCTCTGAGGCAAGAAAGGGGACCTGGCAGGAGGATGGAGGTCAGGGGGACGTGGGAGGTTCCAGGGGGGACAAGGGGTTCCCCAAGGTGACACGATGCCCATGGCCTTGCAGGAGGAGGACTCTCCGGGCACAGAGGTGCCGCTGAAGCGGGACCGCTCCTTCTCGGAGCACGACCTGGCACAGCTGCAGAGCCAGATGGTGGGTGGCCAGGCTGCGCCCCAGGAACCGGAGCCGCTGCAGCCCGAGCCCCGGCCCCGCTCAGGTACCCTCTGGAGGTCCCCCAGCCCCACACCAGCCCCATTCCCAGCGTGGCTGTGTGGTGCCCTGTGGCAGAGTTGGCACTGGACATGGCTGTGCCATGATGTCCCCATCTCTCCCCACAGGCTCCGTCCCCGCTAGCTGCCACCCGCTGCCAGACAGCTCAGCACCACCCCGGGCTGCCCTCGGTGCCGTGGAGGAGAGGCCAGAGGATGGATCCAGCACTGCTGCTAGTACCAGCTCCAAGCACCTCTGGCTGGTGAGTGCTGATGGTGGGGCTGAGGATGCCATGTGAGCG